TTCCTGCTGGTCCTGGTTTTGCTTTATGTGGTGTTTAGGGCATCTAAACCTATTTTGGCTTCTGATTTTATTTTCCCTTGTTATAAAACAATCATCTTAGAAAAAAAAACATTTTCCCCTGATGTCGTCCTTTTTCCATTTTATGGCATGTTTGTTTTTCTTTGTCCTGTTTTCAGTAACTCAAACTGACAGCACTGCTCTAGTGCAACCTAAACAACAGTTCCCAATGTCACTGCGTTGGCTGCTGGTGGCTGCTGGCTGGCTGGGGAGCCACACGGGCGGCCACGACTAGCCCTGCCAGGAGCAGAGCTTTGGTTCAGTTTCTTTGAGTGATAGCAAGAGCCACATGGAAGAAAATGGACATTGCTGTACTTTATTGAAAGAAAACAGCTTTCTCCCCTGTCCTGGCTGCTCTGGGCACCACCTTCCCTCATTCCCGCTCTTGAGTGAGCGGTGTATGCTCAGTGGAGAACCTTTGCAGTGGCAGAGCAGGCTGGGCTGTGCCGCTGGAGCCCTCGGACCGGGTGTGAGTTGCTAAAGCAGGAGCCCGAGAGCTGCGTCTCTGGTTCAGCGCGTTGTGTTGGGCCTGGGCTGTGAAAGGCAGTGCCGGAGTGAGCTGATGCGTGCTGCTGTCCGGTGTCTCATTAACTTCAACCTGACCCTTTGCAGTAAATTTCCTTTCCTAGACAAGCTTATCTCTGCCTGGGAGCCCGGAAGGCAGGTGCCCAGGTGACAGCCTGTTTCCTCGTTTCCATGCTTTTGTGGCTTTGCTGACATCCTGCCCGGGTCCCCAGCTGCTCTGTCTGCCGGCGTGTGACCCTCTGCTGACTTGTGTTTCCTGTTAGGTGTGGGATACCTGTACCACATACAAGTGCCAAAAGACCTTGGAGGGTCACGATGGAATTGTACTGGCTCTCTGCATCCAGGGGTGAGTGGAGAGGGACACCTGGCCCTGCAGGAGAGAGCAGGGAGAGCACTGGGGCTGCCGAGCCTGCCCTTACAATTCCCGTCCTCGGTCCTGCACGCGCCACGATTGTGCATGAGAGGCACATCTTGCCTCTTTCCTCTTTAAAAATCAACAAAGCACTTATCTCTTTGGCCTCCCCTGCTGTCCTGCCTTCCTTCCCTGGTCACCAGCGGGGTGCCTGGCCTCCTGCTCGAAGGGCCAATCCAGCCCGGCCTCCCCACGAATCCTGGGCTCCGCTCCTGGGGTTGGTGTGTTTAGTCCTGGCCCAGTGAGGCTGTGGGACCGCAGCTCCTCACCCAGCACGGTGCCTGGGAACGAGCTGGGACCCTGCACTCGTCGCTCTCCCTCGCTGACCTCCTTTTGTTTTCTGGTGACATTACAGGAACAAGCTGTACAGCGGCTCTGCTGACTGCACCATTATTGTGAGTACCCAGGACCCCTGCTCCGCTTCGCGGTTGGGATGTGAGAGCTACAGGCCAGCCCCAGGCTGTTGTAGAGCAGGGACCTGCATCCTTTTTTCTATAAGGCTTTTCAGCTGCCAGTGGTGGAAGACTGATAAACCCGTGTGTGCTTTACCCACTGCCTTCAGCCAAGTTACTCCTGGGTTGGATTTGGGTGTTTCCTGCAGGCTGCATTTCCCACTGCCCACTCCTGCGGTGCTGGTGCTCTGCGCTGGGGCAGGGTGCTCAGTCCTGATCAAGCCAGGACAGTGGCTCGTACCAGTGCCCTGTCCTGCCTGTGTTTTTGCCTGTGTGTGATTGCCTGCCTTCAGAGCCAAAGAAGAAGGGCTCCAGCACAAGGGGCCTGCCTCTGGCCCTCACAGGCATTCTTCTTCTCCTTTGCAGGTCTGGGATATTCAAAACCTGCAGAAAGTGAACACGATCCGGGCACATGACAATCCTGTTTGCACTTTGGTCTCCTCGCACAACATGCTGTTCAGCGGCTCTCTCAAAGCCATCAAGGTAGAGCTCTGGGGTGGCTCCTCTTGGTCTGGTTGGGGACCGATGGTACAGACTGTCAGGCAGCAGTGTCCAAACAGGAAGAAAGTGGCATCTTGATCTGTAGGTGACCTTGTTACTAAGCTCTCCTGAGCCACACAGAGAAGCACAGCTACACAGAGCAGCCAGGGCTGCAGAGGTTTAGCCCGTGCTCTGTGCTGAAGTCAAAGATGTTAGGGGACCTGGCTGAAAAAATAACTTTTGTTTCTTCTAACTCTGTAAACCTGAGGCTGCCGGTGGAGTATCTTGGCAGTTCCCGAGTGTGTGTGTCCTTGGGCCCCCAACAGACCTGCTCAGACCATTGGGAGTTGTGTCTGGGGTCCAGAATTGGCTGGGGATTCAGGCTGCCTGTTTTGAAACCCCCTCCAAAGGATCTTGAATCTGCATTCTTTACCTAAAGCATGCAGAAATCAGGGAACAGCTTTGCAAGTTGCCCTTTAAAGCCTTGGCTAGATTCCCTTACTTCTGCTTCCAGCTCCTGGTGAGACGGCTTATGGGACCATCCGTCTGTAAGAGGGCGCATGCTCTTTTCTTTATCTGGGGCCTGGAGAGGTTCAGCTGTCTAGAGAGTGCTCGGGGCTGGAGGAGCAGTGAGACAGCACTAAGCAGAAGCAGAACTTGGGGCCTTTTGTTTTTGTGCTGCTTTGGAGCGGCAGGGTGAGATCCGTCAATCCCTGTGTGCTGGGAATTTCGGCCAGGGTTTCCCAGGAGCTCTGGGAATGGAGCTTTGTGGGGACAGGCTGGGAGTGGAAGTCCAGAGCAGATCTTGACTGTAGATTTGGTTTAGGTTTTTCCAGCCCATGGCTCTGCTAGGGAAAGGTCTCTGCCAGTGATAATGCAGGCTCCAGGCGAGCTCTCCCAGGCCCTCAGGGAACATGCCTACTCAGCGTAGGGATTGTGTGTTTTATCTGCAAGTCAGTGGGTTCAGGCGATTCCCATGGGGCAGGAGAGCCAGCAGGAGCTGGGAGGGCCTTCTGCTGGTGGGGTGGGCAGGGGTGGGCAGCGCCCGGCCCCCGAGCTAGAGGCTGACCTGTTGTGCCCCGTCACTGAGCCTCTCCTCTGTGTGTGTGTGTGTTCGTGCTTTCCGCAGGTCTGGGATATTGTAGGTACCGAGCTCAAACTGAAGAAGGAGCTGACAGGTCTTAATCACTGGGTGCGAGCGCTGGTGGCTTCTCAAAACTATCTCTACAGCGGATCTTACCAAACAATCAAGGTGGGACCCTGAGACTCGTGGCGACTGTAAGCTATCGGCTCTCCCCGTGCCTCTACGTATCTGTGTGCTGCAGCGTGGGTTGGTGGAGCAGGACAAAAGGTAGCTGCTAGGATGTGAGAGTGCTGCTGTAGTGTTGCTGACACACTAGATTTTACCGTGCTGATTGCATCTTTGCCGGCACAAAGGCTGGGCTCTGGCTGGTCCTTGGGAGCACAGCTGCTGGGGGATGCTCACTAAGATAAAACGTGGCCTCACAGCTACGGCACCTCACGCTGCCTCTGCAGCTGCCGCAGCGTTATCTGCGCTGACAGCCCTGCTGATAACAGGAGAAGGTCACTGGCTGGCTGCAGAGTTCCCATAAATCCATGTGTGGTTTCTGAAATGCCCTCATCTGTGTTGGCTCAGGCTTTGATGAATAGTTCACCTCTCAGCATCTGGGTGACACAAGAGAATTTGAAGTTTCCCTCCTCAGCGTTAATAAATCCCTGTTAATTTGTCCACATCAGTTTTTAGTGCTATCAAGGACTGGGTTGTGTGTGTGCACATGTGTGTGTATAGTCACACACAGAGGGTGTGCAATCTCCATGACCTTTTTCAGCCTGGATGTTCAAAGCTGGGCAGCTAAATAAGATAGCAAGACTTTGCTCATCGGTACTGAACATTCCCAGCCGGACAGATTTGTCCTTAAAGATGCAATCTGGGCACACACGGAGCCAGGCTGACTCCATGCGTGGCTGGAGAAGAGCTTCAAGGGAGCTGCCTCCCGGAGAGGGGTTCCTGCATGGGTCTTACCCTGCCTTTCCTCCGGCATCTCTTTCAGATCTGGGACATCCGCAACTTGGAGTGTGTGCATGTGCTGCAGACGTCAGGAGGCAGCGTCTACTCCATCGCTGTGACAAACCACCACATTGTTTGTGGCACCTACGAGAACCTCATCCATGTAGGGGCTGCGGGGTTCGATGCATTTGCTGGCTTGAGGCTGGGGGAGAGGGGCAAGGAGATAGGGGCCTGGCTCTGCCGGTCCCCTTTATGGCACGCCCAGAGCGTGGGTGCACAGCACCCAGCCGAGAGGTGGAAACACCTCTCGGAGGAGAAGTTGGTGGTCTGCAGCCCAGTGCAGTCTCCGAGCCCCACTCTCCTCCCACAGGTCTGGGATATAGAGACAAAGGAACAAGTCCGCACGCTGACTGGGCACGTGGGTACGGTCTACGCCCTCGCTGTCATCTCCACGCCGGATCAAACCAAAGTCTTCAGTGCATCGTACGATCGGTCTCTCAGGGTACGTGTCCAGGGATGCGCAGCTGCGTCTGCATTTGGCACAGTGGTGAAAGAATGGACAGCCCTGAGGGAAAGGGACAATGGGGGATCCTCATCCCTGCATGCCACATGGCCTTGTATTTAATTTGTGTCACCTGGCTCGAACCCTGTGACACTCAGTATCCCCCGTCCCTCCCGGTGCTCGGGATGTGCCAGAGCTCTGTGCCGCTCGCTTGGCTCACGCCTCCCGTGTGCCCGTAGAGGTGGTGGAGTCCCCATCCCTGGAAGAGTTCAAAAAATGGGCAGAGGTGGCACTTCGGGACATGGTTTAGTGGGCATGGGGGTGTTGGGTTGATGATTGGACTGATGATCTTACAGATCCCTTCCAACCTTAATGATTCCTCGTTTTACTTTCATTAAAAAATAACCCAGCCACCAAGCCAGGAGGCGTGGGGTTGCTACTCTCCCCTTAACTGGTTTAGTGGTGGACTTGGTAGTGTTAAGTTAATGGTTGGACTGGATGATCTCAAAGGTCTTTTCCAACCTAAACGATTCGATGATTCTATGATTCTAGGTGTGGAGCATGGACAACATGATCTGTACTCAGACGCTGCTGCGACACCAGGGTAGCGTCACTGCCCTCGCAGTCTCCAGGGGCCGCCTCTTCTCCGGCGCTGTGGACAGCACTGTAAAGGTTGGTTTCCTCAGGCTTCTCCTTGATGGTTCGGGCTCTTCCAGTACTAGAACTAGGGCAGTAAATGAGTTAGGAGCTGTCTTCAAACCAGCAAGGGGATGGTTCTCGACGGGTGGGAGGTTTAACTCCTGACAGAGGGTGTTGTGGATGCTGGAAGCCCAAAGGGAAGCTCCGCAAGAGGATGAAGAGAAGCCCACAGAGCTGCTCCGAACCACCCCTGCCATGGGTTCCTCTTGTCTCTGCTCCGCAGGTCTGGACGTGCTAGCGAGAGCGTCACGCTAGTCCTGCACACTGAAAGACCAAAAACTCCTCCCCTTCGTCGGCCTGCTGGGTGACTAACACGACTATGAAATAACTGCTGCAGCTCCCCTCCGCACCGACCACTGCCTGCC